CTTTAAGTAAGTCATTTGGATCTTAGTCTTGTTTCTAACTTAAGAGTGACAATGACTGATATAGTATTATGCACACATTAACATTATTTAACTTGATTGAACAGCTATTGAATGATATTTATTTTTTTATTTTATTATTATTATTATTAATCATATGATTTTATATCTTCAGACAATATAAACACACAGTGGAAAATATGTAGAAAAATGGGAAAGGAAGCCTTGAACGTTCAGCCAGAGATTTACAGAGAGGCATTGATCCATCAAGTGGAAGCTCACGTAAAGTAGACCACAAGAAGTCCAACTTGGGTTCTCCACAAACTGGAGTTCCCAGCAGTCCAGGACTAAATGGTAGTTCTGGGGTATCTGGTAGTGCCTCAGGTGGATCTAGGAAGGTGGATAAGAAAGGAACCAGTGGAGAAAAGAGAAGAGAAGGAGAGAGAAGTAGCAGAGACAAGTCTGCTGTTGCCATGTCTCCTCAGGTGAATGGGGAGTCAAAGAAAATTCAGAATCCCAAGACTGCTCCCAGTAACTTTGGATACAATGGAAAGAGAACCACTAGTACTGGCAGTGTATCAAGCACTGGCAGTGGAAAGGGTAGTAAGTCTGTTAAAGAGGTAGACAGTGCTGGTGGCAGCAGCTCTCGTCATGATAGCTCTAGTCACAGCTTGGAAAGACCAAGAACCAAACTTAAGGTGTCTGGAGGCACACAAACCACCAGCGACCTTCATTATATGTCTACAGAGTCCATAGTGATAGCGAGTATTCATCAGGTTCTCTTGGCAGAAAGTACCAACTCAAGTCCTATTCTTTAAATGGTCCAGTTGCTGCTCAGCTGTCACAGAGCGTGCGGGAAAGAATCATGCAGTCTCCTTATGGCAAAATTCATGTAGGAGAATATGGACAGTATCCTCCTGCATATTATCGGGAACGAAGTCCTCGCATCAAACCCACAGATGGCTCATTAAGCGATTCTCCATATTCCAATTATGCAGAGATACAGTATAGTGGAAGTCCATATAGTAGCCCCTATTCCTGGGTATCCAGAAGTAATTATGCAGGATCAGTGGCTTCTGCACCAACAAGGTAAAATTACAGAGCTCCTTTTCTGTATGTTTCTTTGTTTATGCAGTATTTTGCTCTTACACCACAAGCATCACGTTTTGTTTTTATTTCAACTGTGTGTTCATACATAGCTTAATAGCATTGTAATTTTATTGATTTTGTTCTTTATTTTTTCTTTTACATGAGCTGCACTAATTATCCACTTATATAAGCTGGTACTGTTCAGCCCTAAATTCTAGGTTCCACATTAAGATTTATCAACATTTCTTAAATAGATTTTTGTAACACAGCATCATACCATGGCTTCATTTAAAAACACAGACCCCTGGGTGGCAGTCTGACAGAGGCAGAGAGCATGGAGAGTATAAGCTCAAGCGCCTCGAGTATAGCTGCACAGATCCAGCACGCTCGAGCCACCAGCCTCACACAAGCCCGCCTCATGATGCACCAACGGGAAATGTCCTCATCACCCTCCCCTAGGCTCGCTCGCTCCAATAGTGTTAGGTAAACACCATTTATATTTGTGAAATATTTCCCGTGTCTGGATTTAACTATATTTCAAAATTATGCAAGTTGTCTGGATTTATATTGGCTACATGTTTTCGGTATTTAGCCTTTGGCATTTTATCTTTGGAGGTCAGAGATTGGTGAAGGGCACGTTTAGACGGCTGCTATTCCTACTGCCATATTATTGTCCCTGAAATTTGTTACTGTTTGTCTGCTCATTATGGTGACTTGTCTTTCTTCTTTTGCACTGCTTAAAAGTTTGATAGTTGTACAAAATGTGTGTATTTTTATATCTGGGTATGCATGGATTGATGGGTCTGACTGAGAATATAGGAATAGGTAAATGTAAGAGTGGAAAATACAAATGAAGATGAATGACACTCATAAAAATGTATTGGTATCCAGTAACAATGGTCACTTCATCATAGTATTGTTTATTCTGTTCATAATCACGAATGCACTGTTTTTAGAAATTGTTTTCAATTTCAAATTAATATAGATTTTAATCATAAATCATGATTTTAAAAAAAATATGTTGAACATAAAAAGCTTATTGATAAGAAATGATAATTTTACCTTTAAAAAGCAGGGCTATTTTGGTCTGTTTTTATACCCAATGAATTAGGAAAACAAATTATATAGTGAAGAATTTAAAGAAGGCTAGTAGTATGATTTATAAACCTTGTTTATAAATGATTGTGAAATCAGTTATTTTTAAATTATTTTAGTTCTCCCCAGCATGAGAACCTTAATTTCATGTTTCCTATGTTTGGATACCAGTATGAGAATATCCAAAATTGGGTTATCAAAATCCTGCTATGGTTTTGAGATTTAGAGGAACTGGATTTTTTTTTCTAATGTTTAACATTAACTGAATTTTATCCCCATCCACAGCCATCTTATTGAACGGACCTTCCTAGGTATGGTTATGTAGCACTTATCATTAGCATGACATGATCATACCACAGAATATCATTATCCTGCTCAAATATCGACCAAGTAGTAGCTTTGAATGGCATATTACTAGTTGACATTCTCATTGCCTAAATCTGTAACATTTCATTCGTTTTACCACCTAATCAACTCAAGTGGTATTTCCTGAAAATCAGATCATTGTTTAGTCATGGAAGGAACTACAGTGATTTGAGCATGTATAAGAGATATACTATACAATATATATACGGTTGTGTACTCACTTTACACAGCCTTGCATCACTTTTATGTTGATAGCATCATGAGCATGCCAATGCAAATATGATTATTAATGCATCTTTCTGTACTGATGGAACTTTTTAAGAATGAAGCTAGTAATGTTCAGCTTTTATTTACTGCATACACAGGGGTTTTATAAGTATTATGCTCTATTCATGTTGGTCTTGGATTGTTGATAAGTAAGAGAAAGCAAAAATACATTTTTATGATGATCAGAGCCCAGAGTCTGTAAAATCCCCTTTAAAAAAGTAAAATACTTTAGTAAGTGAGTGAGGATGTCTTAAAGTTGCAAGATAGTTATGGTTATAATAAATGATTCTATGTAGTGGAAACTTACATGCATTTTGATTCAGGTGTACCAAATCAAATCCAAGTTTTTCCAAAATTTTAATTTACATTTCCTCCACCAGATCTACAAAGTCTGAGAAACTGTACATAGTAGTATGGGAGGTCGAGATGGCTACCATGCCTCACAGCCTACCAGTCCAACACCACCAGGAGGCACCAGGCTACCTATATCTCCTTGAACACTGTTCGAGGCTCCCCATATTATTCAACTGTGACCCTAGAACTTCAAAGGATGATGAATGTAAGTTCTTTTATTATTATAGTGGATCTTGGATATTTTATAATTAGCTGCAAATTTGATGTCATGTATTCTCACAGCTATATTAGCTCTGATAAAATCATTCATATTTCTTCTCTTCAGGTCATGGATCTTCATTATCATTGGTGTCCTCCTCATCATCACTGTACAGCTCACAGGAGGAAAAGCAAGCTGCGGAGATTAGGAAGCTGAGGAAAGAATTGGCTGAAGCACAAGAGAAGTTGGAACTCTGAGTAACCAACTTAGTACTAATGTAAGCTCCATTTAGTGAAATTTTAGTTGCTTACATGTAGAGGTATTTTGTAGAATCACATGCGAATTGAACATTTTATTTTAAATTTTAACCTTTTTTCTGTAATTCCTTGTTTTTTTGTTTTTTTGGTTTTTGTTTAGAAATCAGTCTTTTTGCTTGGGAAGAGCTATATCCAATTTAAAGTATTAAAAAGCAACCAGCCAAGCAAATACTAAAAGATTTCTCTTTCAGAACTCAGTTTTCAACCTGAAGAATACGGTAAATATCAGTAGAGTTTGTAAATGGTTGCATCTAAAACAGATAAACAAGAATTAAAAAGAGTTTATCCATAGGGAATGCTTTGGCTGGTTGTTGAATATCAGTAATTTCAAGTATTGCAATAGATATGTATATGTATATATATATTTTTTCTTTTATCCACAGGCCCATGTAGTTGCTGCCTTTGAGCAATCTCTCACCAACATGACAAACAGATTGCAACAGCTTACAGCAACATCAGAGCAAAAGGTAATGAAATGAAAAATAAATAAATAGAATGTGTTTTATGCAATCAGTCCCACAAGTGTCATGGAACAAAAATCTGATTAATGTGCAATTAAGCTATTTTACAAATACTACTCTCTTGGTATCATTTAATGAAATAGAAATGGTGGTAAAATTTCTTTTGTGGAATTATTTAGCTGTGCATACTTTTCAGTTTGAACACACCCACTAGCACATACTTACACATAAACATATATAGATATATGTACACATACACACATGCAAATGCACACAAACACCCACATATACATACTGGTATGTATACATACACGATTTTGCTTATCTTTGATATATTGCATGAATATTGATCACTAATTAGAGTTTATGTAGAGGGTGTATTGGACTCTTGGATAATAAATTCTACAAATAATCCCTATGTTTTTTTCAGGATTCGGAGGTCATGGAGTTGCGTAAAACCATTGAGCCCTGCGTCAACAAAGTGTAGACGCTGGTCTTACCGTAGCCTGTCTCCAAAGTACGTCCCCCGGCCACCACCAGCACCACCACCACCACCACCACCACTCCCCCCTTCCCCTGCCAGGCACCAACACACCCATCTCTCTCCCAACATCCTCGTGTTCTGTGCTCAATGTCACCTCAGGCAGTCGTTCCAGTTCACCAGAAAAATCAGGGCATGACCTTGCGCGCAGGCACACCTTCACGGGAATTGTAAAGACCTTGTAGTGTGTGAATTCACTGAAGCTGGTGAGACTTCTTCACCTTTTGACAAGCAAGCAGGCTTTTCTTCTCTACTTCAAGGCTCATGCCAGTCTTTTGGCTAAGCTGACTTGTAATGGCAGACCAGACTTGTGG